TCACTCGCGAATATTAACCACTACACAGCGACATTTGAAGTCTTCTTGGTACCACAGCCCCTACCGCAGTCTCCTCTGCTGGGAGTATTGTCTACATAGGCGTACTTGTAAAGAAGAGTGGTACTACGACTTGAGTGAGGGATCAGATCTTAAGACATCTACCTCAATAGTCTACCACAAAAGAAACGTCGACGTATTATGAGTGGGAACCCAACTCCTGATACCAAGCAAGTGACTCAAACGATAACAGTTCCAAATTGTAGACTTATTCAGTAGGAAGCACCCGGTTCGAATCCCCGCCGGATAGCAGTTATCCTGATTGAGGTGCTCGTATTTCGTTGAGTTTCTGTTATCGAATGTACGGATAATATGAACGGTTCCTTCCCTCCACATTCTCTCTGATTCATTGTTTATTAACGATCCTACAATTCCAGCTACTGATAAAAAAGATAAAGCTGTCCCTGTAACAGACCGTGGAGACCCATAGGGTTGTGAGTCGTCGAGGCTCCCACATTTTCTAGAAAATCGGCTTACAGATGGCGAAGATGTCAGCCTTAAGCGCCGGCCGCCCTTTACGCCACAAGAAGATTGCTGGTACTCATTTCTGTTAGAGGCTGAGTGGACCAAAAGGCCATAGTGCGGCTGGAAGGATTAGGTAAATTGAAAAATCCGATAACATTATTGGGAATCGAACACGCGACCTTCCGGCTTGTGGCATAATGCCTCAACCAACTACGCGTGTCCCCGAGCTACTGATAACATCTGTAAATAAGTAATAAGCCGGTCACGGTAGTCGAACGATCTAAGGCATGCAGTGTCTTCGCTCGCTCGGAAGCCGGGATTGTGGGTTCGAATCCCACTCAGGGCATGGATGTTTGTGTACAGGTAGAGGCCTTGACCCGCCCAAGGAGTCCTACCATATGTCTAAGATCTACTAAGCAGAAGTGAAAAGGAGAGTTTCATGGAGGCAGGCCTAGGTCCACTGGGGCTGTAGTCCCAATGAAAAAAAAAAGTAATAAACAAATAAATAGAACCCGCTGTGGTAGTTCATGCAGCCATTCGCTTATTGTTCTGTGGTCTATCGCCTGGCAAAAATTTGAACAGGGCATCTTCCGTAAGAATCCACTTCACCACGAATCTCGGTGCGTACACCGTCGTCAGCACATGAAGGAAGCCATAGTTACATCTACGTTTTCATTTAAGAAGGAATACCTTAATAAACAATTTTGCTTACTGGCGCACGTTAAATTAGGTTCGTTTGCAATGCAGAGAAAACTGGCTTAATAGAGAAAGTCGCTAGCCTCTCTTTCTGATCAACTGCAGAACCGATTACGGAACAGAAACATAACTTAGAGTTGTAAACAGGTTGAGATAAGAGCCACGTGCCTTCACAAAAAAAAGAAAAAGAAAAAAGATATATGAACTTTATTTACAGAATTTTCAACAAATTCATTACACTGGCCAAATACGTAAATATACAGGAACAAAAGTGAAATCATAGAATTTCGAGATATATATATCTAATCACTCCTACAAACTGACATCACCTGTCTGCCTGTCAGCTGTCCCTCGGTTACTGTCAGACATTATTCATGTAATTTTAGGCAGTGACAGGCACAAGCAAAATTTGCCTAAATCTGTGTTTATATGACACTAAAACCTAAACTCAAATATTGTTTTTCGAGTATTGATATCTCAAGGATAAATATAATATAATGAGATTTATAAACAGATTAAATTTGACATAAATGTCTAAAATGAAGACATGAAGACTTGTAATATATGTGTCATTGAAACCTGTGTTTGAGAGATGGCAAACATAAGAATTACACAGCACAGTAAGACAAGAAATAAACAGCACGCGCACTTTATTGTTGGGAAAACCTGACTGACGTGGCCACTTGAAACTACGGAAATAAAATTGGTGAACAATGTTAAAGCTGTGTTGTAACTTACGGCTCTAGGTTCGAGGATGGACTGTAATTGGCAATAGAAAGTTTCAGGGTTTAAGTGTGATTGCCGTTTACCGCATGCATCGGCAGCCGTCACTGGGTAATTACTTCGCTTCGAAGACTGAAGAAAGAAAGATGTCCGAAATGTCGACATTAAACCTGTATCGTTCATCACCGAGAAACAAATTCCGCGCTATATAAAACAGTTAAGTAATATTACAATATCCCGCTGAAACTTGCGGACAAGCAGAAAACGAGAAATATGCAAAAGGCATTCCTCTGATGTCCGTCTTGCTGGAGATAAACTTGAGAGAGAATTTAAGGAGTGAAAATTGTCATATATGACTGAGCTAACAGAAACGGGAGATTACAGAGAGAGAGAGAGAGAGAAAAAAAAAACAAAATATACATAAACATGTAGAAAGATCTACCATATGTAATTAAAAAAATATGAATAAATAAGGTGTGCGGATTTCTGAATGACCTAAATACTTCTTTAGGAATAGTAAGATAATTCGTGGAGTTCATTAATTCATATTCCTGTTGCTCCCTCGGGAAAAGCTTCATTTCGCTTACGTTTCTTAATCTTTAGACAGTCGATAGGACTCCTTGTACGGGGGATCAGTTGGAACAAGACCGATACCTAACACAAACACAGAATAAAAGTGGACAGACGTCCATGCGTCGAGTGGGATGCGAACCCATGACCCCAGTGTTCGAGCGGGCAAAGACAGTTCTTGCTTTAGACCTCGCGGCCACTGCGGTCGGCCTTAAGAAAGATTGCTTCTTACAAAATGAAAGACTAACGACTCAGAATTAATGGAAAATTCTTTAAATTATCGTTTTTGCATTCGAGTTTGAACAACCAGTAGAAAGGATTCGCTTCAATTCACATTTTCACCTACAAATTCTTGTCCCGTAACGTGTGAGAAACGCAGTGAAAATATTTGCGACGTGAACGTAAAACAAAGCGGTACTTGTTATTTTGAAAAATTCTAAATTGTTGTCGGGGAGTAGTTTCTTTTAGTTTCTTCAGGTGGGGTGAGGCTGTGTTCACTTGGTAAATTGGTTTATTGTACCAGCCCCGGATGATAGATGATGATGAATGTGGAGCAGTCGATGGAATGAGAACTGGCAGGGGAAACCGAAGTACTCGGAGAAAAACCTGCCCCAGTGCCATTACGTCCACCATAAATCCCACATAACCTCACCTGGGCTCGAACCTTGGCAGCCGCAGTGTGATGCCGGCGACTAACCGCCTGAGCTTCGGCACGGCCTGGTTGGGGGGGGGGGTAAGTAATTTAATTAGAAACTCGATAGTGAAAAAATTATTATAACAATTTCTTTTATGGCGAGTATTCCTGTCTATATTCCAGCAAGTAGTTGCCTAGTCAAGGAAGTAGACTAAACTTACAAGATTGCACAAGACGAGGGCCAGATTACATTACACTCACAACATAAGAAATAGCTCACAGAACACATAAACAAAATGCATTTTCAAAATTACGATTAACTAACTACGCTACTTTCCTTACCTGTGTATCTCTCCCAAGTAACGAAATAAAGTTACAGAAATCACACACCTCCAAAATGAAACTATCTATTAAGGTACAGTATTTTTCTTTATGATGACAACTATTAGAACTAACTACTACTCTCAAACTACATAAGTTTCATGGCAGCACAGCTCTGTAACCTGCAAATTACAAGAACCAGAAAGGAAAGCCAACTCTAACACCTGTCAGGAAGAGATAACATAGCAAACACAATGATGTATGATTTTCAAGTATTACATTCGTATTTCTCTTTAAGATGACAATATTATATTAAGCTGAGCTCTACGTTAACGTTACCTACCTCATATGCCTTCACATCGAAGTGCTTCGGGGGAGGGAAAACTATAATTTATATTACAAACTCCGTGGCATGTAGTCCGCAAGCGAACTATACCGACCGAGCTACCGTCGCTTGTCGGCGAAGTTAGTGCCAACTTTAGCGGATAGAGGGTGTCACGTGGTCAGCACATCGGATCCCCACGGCCGTTAATTTAGGTTTTCTGGAAACCTTCCTATATTGGAATAAATAATATTTTAATCTTTTAGGCACTAAAGAGTAAAAACTCACTAATTCAGCAATATCACTCTACAAGGTCCTTGTTAACGAATAGGCATATGGTTAATTTTGTGGTTAAAAATTCTCCAGTATACGGAACCTGAGTATTGATCCTCCTGTTCGCAGGAGATGACTGCTATGCTGTGTTCTGAATTAATTCAATTTAGTCCATATCTTGACATTTCATGTACTAAGATCAACTTAACTTCTGAGCCTACATGTGGCTTCTTGACCGAAATGTTCCGACCAAAAAATTATTCTACAGTATTCCATTTCCCCCCTTTAACCTTTTAAGGTGTACCCGTATGTCACATATCATATTGTTCTTGAATTATCACTCTACTAGCATCTGATGAAGAGCATAAACTGCTAACCTCTACGGTACGTAATTTTCGCCATTCTATCATAACTTAATTTTTAACAGATCTAAATATTTTCCTCAGCATTTTGTTCTCATACAACTTCAATGTATTGAGATTAAAGTCTTCTCTGATATGACGCCGTATGGTTTGGTAAATGAGTACCAACTTTTCGGAGTAACCTGCTGCCTTCATCTTCAGGGCAGAGGCACAAGCCGAGCCAAGTACGTCACTTTGCGAATGCTTAAAGCGATTTGGATTTGGCGTGTCTTACCCTGTAGTCATGAAGATGGAGGAAAAACGTCAGTATCTCTCTACAGAAATACACGGCATCACATCCCAGACAACCTCAATCTTGTCTGCATCCTCCATTCGCAAGGAAATTTACTAGAACTTCGTACCGTACGTTAAAATGTTTAAATAGACAGAAGAAAATAACATAGCATGCAACTAGAGGCTACGAACACGAACTGCACAACACCACAGACAATTGTTATTGATACAATACCCTTACAATTCTTATATAATAATAATAATAATAATAATAATAATAATAATTAATGGAAGAATACTATACACAACGGAAGAGATGCCAACTCACTCGTTGAAGCGTCGACCAGCATTCTTCAAGCGTTCTGTCGCTTATTGCGGAATTTGAACGCGACTGGTCCAATCCAAAGCATAAAGCAGCACAAGAAACAAGAGACAGAACAAATGTTAGTTTATACCAGAGAAAGTACAGTTACAGTACAAGGGAAATCGGAATTTATGTTCTCAGTATCCAAAGAAAAGCATTAGTTAAACAGGAAAAGTCCATGCTACTACCATAATTGTTGTGTTTTATGCCAGCTATATGCCTAAATGGAAAAACTTTATTATAACAACTGACGGTAAAATACACGAAATGTACAAAAATTAACGACGGTCTCTGTAAAGAATATATATGTCTCATTACTAGCTTATGAGAAGGTAATGATCAGGGGGGAAAACTGGCATCACATCTTCGCTCCTCAACCCCTCTTCATATTCACCATTTCACATTGTGACATGTAGACCCATTGTTAGGGAACGTCTCGGTAAACAAGCCCACAACAAATACGCCACCAACAATAGAGTATAACAGAATCTTTCGTTGCGATAAATAACAAGGCAATAATTCGGACTGTACGTATTGTTGGGGAGCTTCATAATCACCAACCGCAGAACTGAATTTTCAATGGTTGGTCAGGTCCTATTTCGATCTTACATTTGCGTGACGGTGGGGAATCCCGAAGGGATGTCAGTGTCATGCCATTTGCCTATGCTACAATAACAAAAGAAATGATATTTCCTTCCTGATTTCAGTTTAGGAAACAAATACCTTCTTTCTGTAAGATTTGAGGTTTTCACCGCGGTGACTACGAAGAAAGCAGTCTTCTGGGACGTGGCGCCGTGTAGAAACGTCGGTTAACACCACAGCTACACGGTGCCACATCCCAGAAGACTGATTTCTTCAAATACCTTCTTTCGTTTGCATAATTCTTTTCTGCCATAATTGGTACCGTTATAGGCTACTAACTGAAAGATTTAACTGTAGATAGCAGAATGTTCTTTTTTCCTCCTTATTAGCCCTAAATCCTTTCCAATGTTAACAGATTTGTTCCTTCCCTTTTGCCCTACGTCACATGAGTGTAGAAGAATACAGTTCCATTACACGTACACCACTAACTACTGTGACGCGTTACCTTACGTCCATCGCCGCGCAACGGTTGCAAACAGACCGCTGCGAAGGAGCGTTCCCGACAAACGTGACAGTATGTTAAGAGTAGAAACACCCGGTATCTCTGGGTGTTATCTCGTTCGTAACATGGAAGCATCTAAGAAAAGTCATTTCTTGGACGATGTACTATGGTTTGTAGTGCTCTGATGAATCGAATGGGGAAGAAATTTGATGATAGCAAAAATATTCTTGCCTTTCCAGCGTCGAGTTGCAAATCTTGACATCCACACACCACCATCAGCACACTACAGTCACGCGTAGCGAGACAGATGAATTATTAAGACGAGGGTTCGATTCCCGTTTTGCGTTGTACTGTGAAACCTCGTTAATCCGGTTACAGTTAATCCGAATGTCGGATAATCCTGATTGAAATATGGAAAATGAACAATTATATTCACAGTTGAGTACATACTTTAAAACGCTTGGAATTTAGGAGCAAGAGGGATTAGAGCAAAAGGATTTTTGGACTGTGTTGAGGGCAGAAAGGGAGAGACTGAAAAAAAAAACAAGAAAACATCCAAGACTGTCTTGATCTTGATGAAGCAGACCTTGGATTTGAGCACGTCTCTTTATACACGTAGTTTTTAAATGAAGGTTCCGCAGTGGTATTTTTTATTTATTTTCATCAACATTAATAATATTATTAAATTCTCCATTTATTTGTTCTCTAAGGTTTCGTTTATGAGGTGGGCAGGGCATGTAGCACGAATGGGGGGACGAGGAATGCGTATAGGATATTGATTGGAAAGCCAGAAAGAAAGAGACCACTGACAAGACCAAGACGTAGGTGGGTAGACAATATTAAAATGGATCTTAGAGAGATAGGATGGGATGGTACTGATTGGATTGATCTGGCTCAGGATAGGGACCAGTGGAGGGCTCTTGTGAACATGGTAATGAACCTTCGGGTTCCATAAAACGCTGGGAAATTCTTGAGTAGCTGCAGATTTGGCTTCTACCCAAGAAAGGCTCAGTTGCATAAGTAAGTAAGTAAATAAGCAAGGTTTCGTTTTGTCTTTTAAGGTTATATTTTTGCTGCATTAATCCGGATGACCTCTCCCCCTGAATTAATTCGGATTAGCCAGGATTTACTGTAGGTCTCTTCAAGAAGCTAAGAGACAGGTCTGGACCAGATATGACAACATCGCATTTATTTAGCAGGCGGAATGCATGTCGGTGCTCCGTACATACAGTGGAATGCATTTATAAGCGTAGTTTACACTGATACTATTACGGAAATTGAAATATATCAAATTATCACATCGTTCTTATGTTTCTAGCGAGTAGTGTGTCTTCTGGGATCAGAACCCATTTAATTCCCTGTGCCGCAGATGGTTCCAAATATTTGAAGGAACCTGCTATCCCCTGCTTTAGTGTACGTTCCTTCGAAACGATGGTACCTGTCTCCCAGAATAGACACCGCCACTTCCCAGTAATCTTAATATCCACAGACATAACCTCAAATCTCATAAGCTTCTGATTGTTATCATACAAAGTGTGATTCTAAATTATTGTCGGGGTTTCTGTGGCAACTAAACGGAAAACACGACAATAATTTAGAATTACTATCTAGATATATCCCCTAATGCTTGCTACAATTCAGTCCAGAACCTTTTGTCTTCTCGTCTGCTGTCAAAAACATAAACATTACAATACACAAAACCATAATTTTGCCTGTGGTTTTATATGGGTGTGAAACTTGGTCGTTGAGGAGAGTATTTGGACCGAAGACATATGAAGTGACAGGAGGTTGGAGAAAACTGCATAATGAGGAGCTTCATAACTGGTACTCTTCTCCAAATATAATTAGAATGATCAAGTCAAGGAGGATGAGGTGGGCAGGTCATGTAGCACGAATGGGGGAGACGAGGAATGCGTATAGGATATTGGTGGGAAAGCCAGAAGGAAAGAGACCACAGGGAAGACCAAGGCGTAGGTAGATGGACAATATTAGAATGGATCTTAGAGAGATAGGATGGGATGGTATGGATTGGATAGATCTGGCTCGGGATAGGGACCAGTGGAGGGCTACTGTGAACACGGTAATGAACCTTCGGGTTCCATAAAACGCTGGGAAATTCTTTAGTAGCTGCAGAATGGCGGCTCCCCCAGAAGGGTTCAGCTCCATAAGTAAGTAAGATGTATCCCCATACAAATTTTCGTGTGGGTGTTACAGTGGTTCATTAGATATCGCCATAAAACCCAATTTGAAATAGAGATTGGGCAGGACTATAGTACTTTGTTGTTCAGCATTATACGCAAAATTTACCTCAATAAACGACGTATTTATTTTTCAAAGATACCAACATTTCCAGAACTGGACGCTTCAAAGCGATAGTCCAGCTCACGTTCGAAGGTCGCATGTCCGCCAGGCTGATATTACTGGAGTTATCCCTGTGCTTAACGAACTAAGCTCTACGCTATGAAGACGTATGGGGGCGTGGAGCTCCACCTTTTTGACCTCGGCACTAACTGGAGGTAAGTGCTCAGCTTCACGTTCTTGCTGCTTTACCCCCAGAGAAAGTGCCCCCGGTATCCGTTGGATATGAGGCTGTGTGAACCCCAGAGCGGGTCTGGACGACGTGTAAAAGAGAAAAGTTTTGACGCTGCCGGGGCTCGAACTCCGATCTTTCGGTCGTCCAGCCCGTAGCCAGTTGCTATACCGACTGAGCTATCCCGGATCTAAGAAAAATAGGTTAATTAAAACTCCTGCATGCAGTACTAAATTTGAAGCTTTATTTAACTCTGCAATATACTCATGGCTGTAATAAACTAATGACCCCCTATGCGGTCTAGTGGTCAGAGTTCCTGGCTACAGATACAGAGGTCCGGGTTCGATTCCCGGCGCTACCAGATTTTCTGAGAAATAGTGAGTCTGGAACGGGGTCCACTCAGCCTCGTGAGGATAACTGAGGAGCTATTTCAAGGAAATAGCGGCTTCGGTCCAGAAAACCGAGATAAACGGCCGTGGGGATTCGTTGCGCTGACCACGTGACACCCTCTATCCGCTAAAGTTGGAACTAAACTCGCTGACAAGCGGCGGTCGCTCGGTCGGTATAGTTCGCTTGCGGACTAAAACCACGGAGTTCATACAAAATTGATGATGGAAAATCAGCAAGAAAAATATTTTGGAATACTTTTTCAAGAAACAGTATAACTTCACAGTCCTAATATTTTTTTTACAGAAAGCACTAAGTTTATTGGCTGTTGATATAAATAGATTCTTTAATGTTCATAATAAAACTCTTAACATTTGACCCTGTCCTGAGTCAGACAACAAGTATGACATATTTCAGTTATCTTAAATAAACTTAATATATTATTCTAATGTGCATCATTCTAATTTAGAAATATATTCTCGGTGGTTACGTCACTTTGTCCGCTCACACTTCAACTCATGTGGCTCACAGTTTACACGAGTTTTGTTGTCTGTATAGCGTCCTACAAGCAATGGCAGTGTTTGGCATTAAAACTACAGCGGTATCTAGTTAAATAATACAAACAAGTTTGCATGTTCAACTTTGAAGTGAACAAAGTGTGACGAGTCTCCCAGTTTTTTTTTAGTGCCAGGATAGTGTGCCTCGAAAAACATAGACCTATACATTGGCATATTTTTTTGTCTTTCTTTACTTATTTCACCTCACTGCGTTCCATTGTCTACAAATACGCTGATTGTATGAATGTTATAATTTTGAACTTTTCCATTTTCAGTTCTTTCGGTAAAAATTCTGTATTTATCCTCTTTTTCGCATTTGATTTGTAGTTCGTGGATTTATTGTAACACGTATCCGTTTGTTTCTCCTAATAGCTTCTGAGTGAATTCGGGATTCGATTCCGCGACCTTCCGGCTTGTAGCAACTACGCTACCGCGTGCCCCTCAATTATAAAAGGCATACTCGTATATT